CGCGGGCGAAAGCTAGTATCAAATGCAAGTATAAGTATATGTGACCTGTACGGAGAGCGGGTGCTTGGCGAGCGCGCGGTACAACAGCACTGCGTACAGTAAGTTGGCGAGGCCGAGCGCACGCAGCGTTGTAGCGAAGCCAGCGCACCATGCCAGCGCGCCGCCCGCCACCGGCCCTGCGCGGCCACACACTACTCATACTACTATACCACTTACGATACTGTGTGTGAAAATATCTTCAGGCCCAATTTTAGTCCCTTTTCCTCAAGAGGAATGGATGGAAAGGAAATGTCCTCTTTATGTGCGTCTCCTCCGTCGATTAATGCAACTCATTTGCAATTGCGGATGTCTGGGCAGCAGTCGCTTCAGGTGGCCGCTTATAATATAACTTAGCCACCTTATAATATAAAAAATCTACGATTCTTTTATTATATCTAGATTTATACATGCTTGATGTTATTCAATCAATGAATTGAACCAGTGTTGCCCCGCTCTCTAACGTAGGAGGCTCTTAACCCGAGAATGTGGGCGATAATTTCCTTTCTTATAATGTTAACAGATTTCTAATAATCTTACTAATAATATAAATGCGAAAGTTTAGTGGTTTCTTCGAGTTTGTAGCCTAAACTGCTATAGAGGATAGTCTTGAAGAAAACATGGGCTTACTTTTTTTTAAATTTCACGTGGAAGAAGTCACGGGCAAGCTAGTTTATTAAGATTTCTTATACCGTTCCAATTAAGCTGTAGGTTTGTGCTCGGAATGATTTACAATAGTCGATATAGGATTCGAACCATCGACCACGTCATCATAAATTCGCACCCCTAATCTGCCATTGGCACTTTATGTTTTTCTAAATAGCCATTTGACTTGTCGTTTCAATATCTTGATATCAAAACTCCTATATCCCTCCTCCTTCTATCCAGATATTCCTATACACTGTGATTTGAAAAAGGAAGAGGTAATGTAGTGACCGAGAGCGTATGCGGCGCTGGCGGCGGCCTGCAG